CAGAAAACCTGGTTCTTCTTGAACGCTGCGGACAGTTGGTGTCGAACGGCAAACGGTAGTAAAGTGCCCTTTCTTTGGACATTTTCTGCAAGTAGCATCCTTTGCTGGACACACACTTTTAGAATGATGTTAACGGCCACACCATCCACAAGATCCTGTCTGCTTCCTGCCACTTGAGGCTTTTGCAATCTTTGTAGTTGAAAGGCTTGATGCATCGGCGGGAGTTTTTTCTAAATTCTTTCGCGTGAACGGTTGACTTTTCCTGGCTCATACGTTGTCTATGATGACTTTTTGTGCTTGTCCGTTGTCCAATTGTGCCTGTTGCTGACGAACAGTCTCGTGTTGGCATGCAACAGTCAATGCTTTCAGAAAATTTAGGTCTGTGTCGAGTTGGTCTTTCAGATACCTTTCTATCTTTGAGGCCACGAGAGTCTATCTCGGATGAGTTCTTCTCGAAGGACCCCGTAATTGCAGGTGTCTGCCAGTGCATGCAATGACGTGATGAAGTCTTCAACCAACTCACCGTCCTGTTGAATCCAGGTGTTGAAGCGCGCCCTTTCTAAGATAATGTTCCGACAGGGAATGAAGTAGGCGTCGAACTTGCTCAGGACCACCTCGAAGTTCTTCTCTTCAGCGTCGCTGAGTGTGAATGTGTTGAACACCTCTTCGGCTTGGGTGCCCATTAGGTACACCATTGCGTTGACTTGGTTTGCTTCAGGTCTTTCGTGCAGCACCGATGCCGTGCGGTAGCAAAAGAATCTTTTCTTCCAGGTTGGCCAGTCATTTGGAGTTGCAAAAGCAAATGGCTTCGGCTGTGTAACCTGGAAGGATGCCATGGTCTCGGGCTTCGTTCTCAGCGGCGTACTTGAAGCTTGGCTGTGGTCGAATGTTTCGACGCTGTCAGCCTTGGGCAAATCAGGAGCTTGAGGCATTGCTGTTGTTGACCACTTCCTCTTACAGCCTATTGGAAAGCAGCTTCACTTTTGACACCATGTTCTATTCTGCGGGTCGCAGAGTGAAAACGTCATGGCCGGCAACAGGGAAATAGAAAGCAGAACATTTATCACATCAAAAGAACGGCATCATATGTACAGATTGAACATCGAGCAGCCAGCCAGTCAGGCCAGCGGAGCATCCGCCTCGTGAGCCCAGCGTCACTGCTCGTGGCCACCGATGTGATGCGCGAACGCAGCCGTGCTATGTCACAGATCCAGCATTTGGCACTTGGCCCCATCGCAGGCCTCTTTTTCTTTGCCACGCTGGTCAGTTCTTCAAGCACCATCTGGCATGCTAACAGTTCCACCGCATTCTTCTTGGGAATACTATTTCTAGAACAGCACCCTCAGTATTTGATTTGGGCAGAAATTAGAGAAAGAGAAAAATCACCTTCAAAGTCGACTTCCTTATTATGATGCGTATCCATAACATTCCATCATTTGGTCACAGATGTCCATGCCACAAACTGTTAAAGAGATTATATGAAAGTTTTTGAGATAAAAGCTCAGAATTGTCTGTTCCAAAAGTGGGAATCTGCTCCAAAATGCATTGTTCCCTGCTACAAGAGCTGCTCCAAATCGCCACTTGTCAGTTCCACCACTGGGTGCGGCAACTGGTACGAGGCAAGAAAATGACTTTTTCGTATCCCGAAGGAAGAGAAAAACCGAAAACTATGACGTTTGTGGTTGTCGCGGGTCAGCAGAAAGGCCTTTGCTCCTGCCTCTCGTACTCGGCTGTGCGAGGTAAGTTATATTATTGCGATAATTAATGTTAAAGTTCAGAGAAATGAATGAACACAAATTGCAATGTTTGTCGGATAAGTTTGACGAGGATCATTCCTCTGGAAAATGTGGGAACGGTTTCAAACATAAGCTAGTGTGGAATGCCGTGCCTTCAATCTTCGCCCACAAGCACAAGAAGGTGCCATGGAGAGCTCCTCTTCCCGAAAAACCGAGCAAAATTTATAGGGTGTATTTATAGTATTTAAAACTAAGTTAATCGACTGCTGCTGTAAAGACCTGCCGCTAGCTCACCGTGAAATTATCTCGTATTACTGTATCATGTGTCCTACGCGCGCGTACGTATACACCAACTCATGTTTACAAACAAACCGGAGCGCCCCTAGCAGACGCCACCGGCGCCGCGCATGCGCGGTGGATGGTGGGCAAGAAGCCCGCGTCGCCCATAAACAAACCATTGAATTGCGTTGTTGTCGGCGTCGATGGGAGTCCCCGTGCTCTTTTTCGCGTTGGAATTGTTGATTCTACGTCCTCCTAACAATGTCCGACTACTTGAGCGGCTTCAGCAAACCTATCGAGGCAAAACTTTGCGTGAATAATGTGATGTGCGGCGATTCATTTCACGTGGACGCCGCAGAATGGGCGCTAAAGTCCGACTCCCACGATGAAATTCTGCTCGCTATTTTCCGTCGCGACGTCGCTCGGACTGCGAAAGCGTGGACCGTAGCTGGGATGGTGGACATCGATACTGAAAACCGCAAGTAGAATCGAGCATTACAAGTCGGTGATGGCCACTGGTAACAATGATCAACAACTTCTTGTATCTGTTTACACTTAGCCGACTTACCCCAACCAACCTTCAAAAGCGTTTTGAGGCCTGCACTTAGTTCTTATCGCAATTACCGGGTCAACGTTTGGTTTACAGGCCGCTGTTGTTTGAATGCGCTAATGACAAAAAGCAGACAAGTTTGAAAGAGCAGACGACAGTTCGAACGCATGCACAATGGAGTACAGGCAAGAAGCACCGCATCCCGTGTCAACAAACCATTCTAATGTCACGTCGGCGTCTGTGTGAGTCTGCATACTCTTTTTCGCGTTGGAGTTGTCGATTCTACGTTTTCATCGCAATGTCTTACCACTTCAATCGCCTGAGCAAAATTATCAAGGCGCGTTACGCCGCTAAACTTTCAGTAAATAATTTGACGTGCGGCGATTCATTCGCATGAACGCTGCAGAATGGAGGCCAAAACCATGATGAGATTCTTGTAGCTATTTTCGGTCGCGACATCGCTCGTGCTGCAAAAGTGTAGAAGGTAGCGGCGATGATCGACGTCGATACTGAAAATCGGAAGCGGTAACAGACCAAGCGTAACAAGTCGGTGATGGCCACCGGTACCAATAATTAACATCTTGTATCTACTGTTTACACCGAGCCTACTTAAGTCGTTTGAGGCCTGCGATTACTTCTTATTGCAATCACCGGGTCAAAGTTTGGTCTACGGGCCGCTTTTGTTTGAACGAGCAGACGACAAAAAGCAGACAACTTTGAAAGAGCAGACGAAAGTTTGAACGATGAGGCGGCCGTGTGAATTTGAAGACGCACTGAACCCGTGGGTGGTCCAGACAACTTGGGAGTTTTCTCTCGTTCATGTTGGAACCAAGCAAATACATCTGGCGACACCAATGTGTGGCCCGCACACGCAATCGTAGTTCGGCAGAGTCTGGTTTGCCCTTTTCACGGCTATTATCCGCGTTCTCGGATGAACGGAGGGGGCAAAAACACATGAAAACTGATCTTCAAACCTTTCCAGACTCTCTTGGTAAGGCCCCCATCGCAGCATTTTGACGAGGAGGCAGGTTTTTTGTCTAGTTTCTTCCAAAGGAACACAGGAATGCATGTCTGACACGGCGACTTCTTCCCACCACCCCAGGCCGGAAGTGCGTCCGGCGCACCACCACCGCGGCGTGACGTAGGAGAGTCGAGTTTGTGTATACTGTACCGCAGACCTTGTCGGGCACTGACTACACGTGTGTGTGTGCCGTTTTCTCTTTTGCAGGTGTGACTATATTAGGGCGTTTTAACTTAGAGAACATGGAACGAAATTTCGCGCTGCAGAAGCCAGGCACCCTGGGTTCAATAGTAACCCCTCCCCGTTTAGATCTGGATGAGCATCGTACTGGCACACTTTTGTGTATCACTACTGCGTGATGCACACTAAAGACCCCCAGGAAACGAGACATACTGCACTGGCTAAGTTGCCCATCCAAAGCAGGGACCCGTCACATTATTTGGGTGGCTGACCAACCAGCAATAGCCACATGTTCCTCTGCGCGAATTAATTTACTTTAGAAATTTTAGTGAATCACTATCAAATAGGTGGCAGTGGATACAATCATGCGCTCTGTCTCTTCTATTCTAAATGGAAGCTAACCAGGAATTAAGCTTAATGCACGCTATTGTTACTAAAGCCAACAATGAAAGTAATAGTCGAGAAGCAGTTGTAGACAGAAACAAAGCCTACAGCATATGTGCAAACAAGGGGGGCATCACCAAGTTTGTGGTTTCACATGTTTTCCGATTGAATTGTATGGTCGGTTAGCTTCGGTGGCACTTTAGGTGGGTGCAGGGATATATGCAAAGTGCCACCAAGAAGCTGTGTGTAAGCGATTTGAGTTTACTCCTAGACTAGCCATTTTGAACTACCATATTTGGGTCGAGGTACAGTATTTGTGATGAAAAAAAAAATATTCCAACCTGAGATAGCGTATGGGAGTTCAAACAGAAGAAAGTGAGTCTATCGAAAGTATGTACCGAATGTCTCCACTTTAGACGAGAAATTTAGCCAGTGCAGTATGACTGCCAGCCTGGGGACTTGAATGTCGATCACACAGTAGCAACACAAACACACTTAGTGTTGGATAAGTACATAAAAGAGTTCTTAAAGTCAAGTGCAACGGGGTTGAGAGGTTATGTACTTCAAGTAAAGTAGTAAGTACATTGGGGGCAATGTACCTCAACAAAGGTGCTTAAATACAGTGTACTTTTAAATTAAAGTACAACAACACATTACTTTATTATATGCATAGTCCCACGGCTAATTAAGCATGGTAGGGACAAGGAAAATCCCTACAGATTTCCCCAGCACCGTTCTCCTTTTAGGCGCTCGTGTAACGCTCAAGATGCAACACTGACAAATAAAAGTAAGGAAGTTCATCTTGGCACAACGAAAATGTTTCACACACTTAGTCCCTCGGCCTCACCATTCATGGATAAAAGAAAGGATCCCACTTTGGGACCAGTTCACCATCCAAGTACAAGTCAAGGCGTTGAGAGCACACTTCTTCTCCTGGCTTCCTAAGGTAGAAGTTGCCCGTCCGGTGCACCTTGAAGCTATACTTGTGCCTGCGGAAAGCCTCCACCTGGAGCGCTTCCAGAAGAAGGATTGGGTCCCCATCAATTATGTACACGGCAGTTACTTGAGCAAAGCTCAGACTGGTTGTCTTGTCCATGACGAGTATGGCATCCCTGCAGTAGTCGCCCGTGCTGGTGCTGATGGATTTGGCCTCCCAAACTTGACCTTTGCTTGCCAAGCTCTGTGCGCAAGGGGGCAGCGTGCCAGGGTCTACTTTTCTTGATCCCAGGGCAGAGAGAGGCTTGTCGAGGACGTAGGTCTGGTGTCGGTAGCTTTCCAGAAGCTGATGGCGCATTGTTAGCGTTTTGCATATGTTCCGGAAGTTCTTCACTTTGGAGGCCATGCTTTTGAAATACTGGTGTTTTTCCTCAAACCTCATGCACCAGAACTGCCGGAGGGGTCCAAACTCCGAGATAATACGAGGGTAGTGCACCATGTAGTGCAGTTTGGCAGTTACGCTGGCGGATGGGTACAGGTCATGGTAGGCGCGAAGAAAATCTTGAATTTGGTCTTCCAGGTATGGTAGAAATCCAGCTGGAACTTCGGTTGCTAGGACCATGTCGACAATCTCGCGATACCTCAGGTACAGATCCCAGTGTGCGTTGCCCTCGGGAATGTTGGATGCAAGCATCTGGGGCAGTAGCCGGAAAAGGCACCCCTTTTGCGAGGCGGTGCCCTTTAAGGCACGATGGTCCTTGGCAAAGTTAGGGTCCAAGTCTTCGGGCTTGTTTTTTTTTGTCATGAAAACCCACCTTGAAGGCAGCTACCTTCTTGAAATCTGCCAATTCAAGCGTTCCTTCGGAGACAAGGCCTTGAAGGACGTGGTGCAACACAAGTGCAACTCCTCCTTCAAAGAGGTCGTGCATCAGATCAGGCATGAGCTGCTTGGTGACGTCGAAGTGTCCCAGTGCCAGCATAGGAGAAGGTCCTGTGACACCATACATCTTCTTGAGTGCTGGGTTGACTGCAATTGCTGTCAGATGTTCTTTGTGTGTGGCTGCACTCCTTAACGCACACAGTCCCTCTCTTGTAAGGTCTGGCAGCTTTGGCTTGAGGGCCATGCAAATGCGGCAGACCCTGCCACTGCTAAAGCAGCAGGAAAACCCACCAAGTTTGTTTAAGGAGAGATTATCACCGCAAACTCCTACAACTGCTACTTTCACGGTGACAATGCTTCCCTGCATTTGGACCTGAAGCCCATTGTTGTTGAGCTCGTTCAGGTCATGAAGGAGGGGCTGTAACAATTTGTCTAGGCCCTCCCGCTCAACGTCCTGGTATTTCGCCATCAAGGTGAGGTGGATGTTCTTGAGCTCCGACCGATAGCGTGGGTGCAGGTTAAGCACCGAAAAGTAGACGACAAGCAGCTTGTGTCTCTTCTGCTTTGCCCCTAGGGGATTCGTGATGCCCAGCTCGTCCGTATACAGCAGAATGTGCAGCATATGCACAGGTTCATTGTGGATACCAGTCGGCACTTCTTTGATTGCCTTGCCATCGCAGAAGCACCGCAGTATTTGCGGCTCGGTCGTCTCTTGTTCAGTCTCCTGTAGGAGATGTTTTGACAGCTCAGGTACTTGAAGCAGGTTCTTGATCACCTTGCCAATGGGCACGTATTGAAAAGACAAGCTTTGAGGATTTGCCAGAGAGTGTTCCTCAGGTTTCACGTAAGGCAGGTTGCCCATGGCGAACTGTTCTCGCTGGTACGTGCTTTTCACTTGTTCGAACAAGCATCCTGGGAACTCGTTGCCAAATATTCTGCGACTGTCCTTCGGGTCATTGGCACCAAAGATCTCCCCGGCTTGTTGGGCCTGCTTTGCATACTTGCTTAGTATGGTTTCAAGAAGGCACTGAAAATCGCCAAAGATTTTCTCTGATGTAGCATGTGGAACTTTATGTTCCTCTGCTAGCTTGAAGAAGAACATGCAGATGTTCTTCTGCACTCCCTGCACGAATTGGTCGAAGGTCTCCCATGGAGGGGCGGTAGGCCCGGCATCGCGCGGCGAGGCAGAGGGTCCCTCATCTAAATGCAGGGGGTCGGTGCTCCCACAAGCTTCTGGTTCTTCAGTATCAACGTCGCAGAATCCAGAGGTGTTGCCATCCGATGGCGTGAGGTACTGACGGTGGTGGCGATAAAGGTGACTGCGATAGGATTGGAACACCTTGAACGTTTGACAGCAGCCATCAACCCCACAGCGCACAACAAAGTTCGACTGAGAGCTGTGTACCTCCGCAATGTGCGTTACTACGCGCGTAGGTTTCTCCGCGAAAAACGGACAAAGGAAGCAACGGTGAAAGGTCATCTTCAACGGGGAAAATCACATAGTTCATACCGGTAAATCACCTCAACATCGGACCCGCGGGCAACGGGAACACGGAAGGGTGGGGGGAACGCCGCCTGTTTCGGGATCGGAAGCACGGACTGGAGCAAGGGCCAACCACGGGTTAATGGGCTAACGACTAACGTTGCTATGAAAATACGCTTCTCGGCGTTACAGAGGGGGACAAAGAAAAAGCGAAACAAGCGAGAGAGGTTGCGCAACGCGGGAAGGAGCATGAAAAGGGAAAGGGTTCGTGAGGAACCTGGGGGAGCACTTCTGTTTTTTAACAGAGTTTTTTAACCGACGCGCCTGTCCCTAGATGGCGCTAGTGGTCAAATAAGTGCGGTAGGGAGGCGGCGGCGGCCCTTCACCTCGGTGGGTTTGAGCCGTTTGAGCCATAGAGTTACTGTTTGAGCCACTGATCTCTACAGTGGTTTGAGCCATAGAGTTGTTACAATAAACGCCAGAGGTTTAGGTGGCGCTAGTGTGCTGTTGCATTTTGAAGCAGACAGCAAGCAGTCAGAAATTGACTTCCGGTAATGCTCTTCTATCGGAAAAAGCGAGTGCATTTTCTCTCTGCGCTGCGCAGCAAATATCACGAATACTTTGTACGCACTAGGCACATTGGAACATTTCCCAGACACGCAGACGAAATAATTGGTCAGTTACAGCAATTTTATTTGAAATTCGTGGCATAAAAAACGGTGCTAAAATCGCTTCGTACGTGTATTTATGCGCACTGTCGGACACTGTTAGCGCGAGGGAGGAAGTGGCCGAGTGGGCTAACGCGTCTCAGCTCGGAGCATGGAGCGAAAGCTTGCGCTGGGAACCTCCTGGCTTCGATCCCCGCCGCCCCCGCCCGTTTCGATCTGGATGAGTTTCGTACCGGCACGCGTTCGTGTGATCACTACTGCGTGATGCACGTTAAAAATCCCAGGTTAGCGGTTGTACCGCACTGGCTAAATTTCTCATCTACAGCTAAGAGACCGATTACCCGTTGAGGTGCATCTCCATCAAGGCTGTATAAACATAAAGAGCAAGCCAATTTTCTGTTAGCGCGAACACGGTCGAAACGGGCAGTGGGTGGGGGTAACTTTATTTTTTATTTCGAGTTCCGTCGGACGTAACTTTAATTTTCACATTGGTTCCGTCCGACGTAACTTTAATTTTTATTTGGAGTTCCGTCGGACGCGACTTTAATTTTCATATTGGGTTACGCCGGACCATAGAGTTATTATAATGTACGCTAGAGGTTCAACTGGCGCAAGTGTCTATGCGACTTCCGTGACGCAAATTGAAGCAGACAGCAACCAGTCTACTTTTGCGGTGCTCCTGTGCATTTCTATGGGAAAACGCGCGTGCATTTTGTCTCTTCGCCGGAAAATAACATGGAACACTTTGGTTATTTCGGTCGTACCGAATAGTATTTGTCTTAATTAACATTGTAAAAGTGTAATTGCTTTAGTTAGCGCATTTTTCTTCAGCAGTGAGCGATGTTTAACTTCGCTGCATTTCAGTCCCAAACGTGTGTTCCGCAGCAGGTGTGTAAAAACAAGCGGCGATTCACAGCAAAATTACGATCGAAACGAATATAGAGTGTGTTCAAGGCTCGCCAGCATTCCGGTGACGCTTGTATATTGATAATATGCCAGTCCTGTCACCATATGAAAATGATCCCGTCGTGCATGAGCGGATAAAAACCTTCAACGTACAGAATAAAGTCCGTGGGATATGAAAGGTGTCTCTTCGCATTATTTTTTCTGCCGGGCAGCTTTTATCGCGCACTTGTTCTCAAAGATGTCTAGCGCGCGGGTGATATTTTGAACGTAGAACACGCAGCTTCGCTCAGGACAGAAAGAGTAAAGCGGTACTCACTTATTTAAAATTGAATAGATTACGTGGCCTTCAATTTATTTTGATCGTACATGCACTGCGAGTTACTGATCCGGTGTTGCTGTGTAGTTCTTGCCGCCGCTCTTGATTTTCCACATGTCCTTTGTTCGTTTGGCATGTATATCCCCCATGCTGGAAATCGCCGACGCCGCGTTCGCACTAACAGTGTCCGACAGTGCACATAAATACACGTACGAAGCCGTTTTAGCACTGTTTTTAGTGCGATGAATTCGAGAGAAAAACGCCGTAACTGACCAATTCTTTCGTCGGCCTGACTGAGAAATGTTCCAAACTACCTAGTACGTACGAATTATTTGGGATATTTGTTCTTATGATCGAGCGCAGGGAGAAAATGCACTCACTTTTTCCCATAGAAATGCATTACCGGAAGTCAATTTTCGACTGGTTGCTGTCTGCTTCAATTTGCGTCAGCACACTAGCGCCACTTGAACCTCTAGTGTACATTATAATAACTCTATGCGCCGGACGTAACTCGAATTCTCTGCGTAAAGTTACGTCAGCCGTAACTTTAATTTTTATTTCGGGTTCCGCCGGATGTAACGCTAGTCACTGCACAGTTAAAAAGTAAGACAAACGCCCAAAATTCAAATCAGACAAAAAAAAAAAAATAGCGAGGTACCGACCTTAAACCGAAACTAGCGCATTTACGTTCGACGTGATGGGTGAGAATGCGAGAGTGCAGTCGCTACCAGCGCTTATCTAAAAGGTTGGTCGCTGCAACCTGTTGTTTTTATTTGCGATGACTTCAAGCAACTCGGCTGTCGTAGAGATATTTACAGACGGCGTAAATCTCCACAACCAGCTGACTACAAAGCAGCTGGGGTTTACACTGGAGAAAACTGATGATGCTGCCCGCGCATACTCTTGATCCGTCTCAGCATGGTATTATGCGCGAACCACTGAAAGGGTCTGTTGGAATACCCAGCAAAACGGTTCGTGGGACTTTAGCCTTGGTGAGGGCGTCGAGAACGAGAGCTTCCTCAAATAAAATACGCCGGTAACATTAGCTGACGTAGGGAAATGTTCAACATGACGATGTTGCCCAAGCCTCGGGTAAAGCCACTATGTTTAGCTTTCCCTGATGCTTATTGGGCAGTCAAAAGTTTCTGCTGGGGTGGCTTTGTCGACAAATGTTCAATTTTTCTCCCGCACACGGATGGTGATAAAGATCTCGGGGGCCGCTGATGCGTTTGTTTTGAGCATTTCTTTACACACTGATATACTTAAGCGTCTGTACGGCAACAAAGCGACTAAAAACGCAAACAAAGCACGGTTTGTCAATAAACAGCAGACGCACACAATTCAAGCTCGTGTTTGATTCCGTTGCCCGCGGGACGCGATTTTTATCAGAAAAATTACTTCTTATCCTTTCGGTTCCGCTGTACGAATGACGGCGCGTTCAGTAGCGGCTCCCTCAGCTCCGAACGGAGTCCCTCGAGTCGGAGTCATCGAAGCACCTACTAAACGGCAGGGGAAAAAAAAAAAATCATCCCGCGGCTCCAAACCTGCTTCTACGCAATTTCCGCTTCCTCCCCTGTGCCAGACGGCCTCCGAATAAACTGGAAGCAGACGATGGCGAGCACGATCGCTTTTATTTGACGCCGGCATTGAAGAAATCTTGATAAGGTCGTTGAAGAAAAAGCGAGTGACTGTACACATAAGCGCTGCTGTTCGAAGAGACGCAACGCGATCGAGCCCTTCGCTTGGAGGTGTAAAGGCAGCTACTGTTATAAAAACCGACAAAAACGTCGTCAGCTACGCCGCCGGTTGTGATACTTTTATATGGCCATACGTTTGTTCTGCCATGCGGAGGGCAAGTTCGTCTGCTTCTTGCGCAGGGGGTAGCGGTGACGTCAGAACGCCGACCCCTGATTGGCTGATCGCGACCCCCTATCTGAGCGTCGTCATACCTATATCAAACGGTAGCGTCCCGATTACACAGCGACAGAGTAGTTGTCGAAGGTGAGGAGACAAGCGCGAAACACATGTACGACGAAACCGTCCGATCCGACGTCCGATCAGGCAATCGGAGGCGAGGGTTTTCAACGCTCTCTGGTGTTACGAAAACCCTCGCCCCCGAAGGTCAATCCGGCAGTTCGCACGTCGGATCGGACGGTTTCGTCGTACACGTGTTTCGCGCTACATTCGGACCGCTGCCCCTTTTATATTGCTTAGCCCAGCGAATAAAGATACTTCGATTGGAAAGCCAAACATCAGTTAGCGTTGCGATAAAGTTTTGTAGCGTGCTGACAGCACAGCGACAGAAAAGTTGTCGAGATGAGAAGACAGTCGGACCACTGTCCTTTTTAGAATGCTTAGCCCAGCGAATCAAATAAGTTGATTGGAAAGCCGAAACATCAGTTGGAGTTGCGGAAAAGGATTGTTCATGCATCTCGCCTGACAACGAATTGACGTGCTATCTATTGAACGACGGTGTGCCGGTATCGGCGTAGCACACCGACAGCGTCCGTCTCGCGGTGCAGGACAGAACCACGAAATATCTGACAAGTTTGATAGTTTCCTGCGTCGACAAGCGAGTTCAAGAATGTTGTCTTTAAATTAAATCTGAACAGCATGCATGGTCAACAAATAGATTGGCCAAGGTAACTTTCCACATATGTGCTCGTAGCGAGTCTTCAAACCTTTCAGGAATATTAAAACATTATTAAAACGTTCGTAGAAACTTCATACCGTCGCCGTCTCTTTAACTTGAGACTCGCCGCTCCACACAGGCCTAATTAATCTATCTTCGAAATAATTTCGGCTTCTACCACCCGTATTCACGAGATGCCGAGTTCGTCATAACTATAGCTGTATACTTTCCGGTTTTAACCGAAAAACACTGATAAACATCCGCCGGAGTCGAAAATACAAAATCGGTTAAAACCGAAAAACACCTTTTTTTCTTTTCTTCAGATTTCTAAGCAAGCGCTGGCAAACGAAAAATACCTATAAACATCCGCCGGTGACGGAAATAAAAATGGTTGTAAGCAAAAGAAAACATGTTTCTAAATATGTTTTCCCAACAATGTTTTTTGTGTGTGTGTGTTGTGTGTTTGATGCGTTTG